CATTTTAAAAAAGTAAATCAGAGCTAAAAAAGTGCAAAAACACAGGCAAATTTGCCTGTGTTGGTCTACATATTAAGGGATACATGCGAACGTTGTCTGCATTACAGTCCTCATTTCCACAAAAAATTGAGTCTTTCTTGCCTATTTTAGGCCCGCTTCACATATCTCTTAACAGTAGAGAGCAAGTAATTATGATACACCACTCTTTTTTTGAAAAATTGTTCTACTATGTATTTGGCAAAAATAAAAAATTAGCCAAGAAGCCTCGTCCTTGGTGAGTAAACCTTTTATTAGAACTCGTGCGAAATGGTTAGATAAAAATCAAAGACAAGATCATTGAAAAATTTGGATGAGCATGCAAAGATGTCGAGTATCGAGCTGTAGTAGATCTGCTTGACAATTTAGTCCCAGCAATACTCGACGTCTATGCAATTCTGTTTCGATCGAGTCAATTTAGTGAATATGTAGAGGCGATTTTCCGTATTTGGACTTTTGCTTTGCGCTGGAAACGAAAGAATTACAACAAAGCGCCTCTTGTATTCCTATCTGGTTTATTTTACTGGAATGATACTAACCATCCTTTTTTAAATATATTACAGAATCATTTAACATATTTCAATGAATATTATGTGGAAAATGTTCACAATAAAATTAGAGCCAATACATTCAAAAACGCATCAATAGATAGTATTATAAAACAAGCCTACTTTATTATGAATCACGATCCTATATTTAAAAACACCTACTGCAAGACATGACGGTACCTATATAATGCAAAGACATTAAACTTTTTATATGATAAAACGGCACTTTTTCTTGTACAACATTTTCAATCTATTTTTTACAATCGTGAAAAAAGTATCCCAAAACCCAATAAAGATAAAAAAAAAAAAACTGCCAACCACATTCTATCTTGCAACTTTAGAGAAAGATGTGGATTTACGGCATCTCCCAACAGCTTATAGTACAGCGCATTCTCCGCGTCCAGGATTATGTGATTCTTGTGAGTGTTCACTGTTGATAACAATGGCATGGTATTTGTTTGCGGCCACAGTTATCATAATGATTATTATGGTGAAAAATGCAAACATTGTGTTAAATATTATAAAAAAGGAATTTTCAAAAACGTTCAAAAATTTTTAACTTGAATCAAAAAAGGGGTGGATACACTTATCAAGGAAGACCTTGATAATGACGATGATGATATAGAAAGTAATAAGGAAGAACCTGAAGAAATAGAGGAGGTTGATATTTCACCAAGATTGATAGTGGAAATGAATCAAATAGAGCATTGGTAACATTTTTTTTTTTTTTTAACAAAAAAAAAAAAGAGAAAATACAAAGAAGTATCTGCAGATTTAACTAAATCATTGGAAATTGAACTAAATAATACATAGACATGGAGAAACTTATCGATTAATACTGTATATACAGTAGATATGAAGAAACGCTTATAGATTTAACTAAATCATTAGATTTTGAATCAAATAATCAACTTGCTTTAGAATTTCATAAATGCTAAACCAATTTTAATAATTAACATACTTGCCTGTGAATGCGAAAAGACAAACTATTACTAGTTATTACTATTTTACTAAGGAAAACCTACGTCTAATTAAAGTCTCACAAATCGTTAGATGCGTTAGATGTGTTTAAACAAACTGTTTTCTTTGCGGCCGTATAACACCCTGGTAAAGTTTCGTAGAAATTGGTCGATTTTTTGATGAGTTGTCATATGATATACCCCTATTCCTTATGTTTTTGATATGTAAAATCTTGTGTAACCACAATGCATAAATCGAACTTCCGTCATGCTGCAAAGCACTTGGTTTATGTATAAATGTAATTTATTAAATAATTGTTTAGACATAAGGTAAGCTATTCTATACTATCATGCATTACTCTATCATGTTTTGCGTTAATATATTGGCAGATGAAAGGAATATCCATTATCTAACATAAACAATATAAGAGCAGCTGCGCGGCACGTGATGCAAAGTTCAAAACTTCAAACGGCCTATTTAGATTAATAACAGAAGATCTCTACCTACTGATCAAATCAACACGAATAAATAGAAACTATAGTGCGATAGTATAGTAAATGTTGTGAATCAAATATATTAATTATATACTGATTGAAAATGAAACTAAATACAAGATATAGCATAATAGTAAATGTTATAAACTCGAGGATCTTCTTTAGGCCAGACCAATTTGATTCTCTGTTTTACATTACCCGCCTTCAGACCCTCCCCTCTCCTTCATAGTAAAAAAAATTTCTAGTAAAAATAATTATAAAGCTGGTAACGACCGAACAAACCTAAATATGAGTGTGGTCGAGCAAATTTTGGGAAAAAGGTCCGGGAATCCTGAAACAGAAGAAGATGGGGCAAAAAAATTTTCTATATATATAATACGTTCAAACCCACCCCTCCCCCAGAAAGTAGAGGGGATAATGTAAAACAGAGAATTAAATTGGTCTGGTCTTAGATACGCTGATTAACAAAAAGCCTTAACATTCACTGAATAACTAAGAGAGATAAATGCTGTAAACTCAAATAATTTAAATAGATTATCGAAATGCTTTGATTATTAAACGATCGTTAAATTTGTTAATTAAACCAATTCGAATAAGGGATGACTTATCGATTAAAATGCAGATAAAAAAAAATACCAATGAGAATTGAACATTTCAGTTGATAAATAATCATTATCAGACATTTTATGTAAACGTTGATTTTTTTGCCTTGATATGTTTGCACAAGATTATGTTATTCTTGTATAAAAAGATCATATAATAATATATCGAATAAATCAATATTGGGCATACGAATATAACAGAAAATTTCTTTTATTTGGGTTAATGTCACTAACGTATGTGCTGCATAGCAGCACATAAGTGACATTAACTTCTATAAAAAAATTCCTATTATTTTTCATTATCTGCCCTTCTTGAATTACAAATTAATTTCAATGAGTTTCATGACTACGAGAGAGAATCTCATATTTCAAGATAGAATGAAATTCAAGTCAGTTGATAAAATTATTAGAAACCAATTATTTGGTTTAACTATGAAAAGTAGTTCACATTTATCCCTTTAAAGAATGAACGAATTACCGTTACAATTACGTAATTTATTTCAAAGTTTGTACTATGCTGGTCCGATGTTATACCGGTTTAGATTGGGTGATTCATTATTGATATCCATGATCTTGTGATCAGATCTTGAAACGATTTGAATGATACCAAAATCAACAAGATTTGATCTCTAGATTACATGATATCAACGATGGATCAAAATATACGAATTTTAATTGAGATACGAAATCTGGTCGGAAAACTCATAATACAAATTGTGTATACTTTGCATTAAAAAAAAAAAAGGGTGGCAGTTTAATGACTTTTAGAATATCCAGATACAGTATTATCGATATTGTTAGGGTTAGTTAGGTAGACGGTAAGGTTTTTAAAATATACCCATCCATACCATCCGTACCATACTGAGTTTATCAATATGAAGACGTAGTTTCTGGGAGTTAAAAATGTTTATTATTTCTTATTTGATTTTTTATTTTCATTGATTTAGTTGTGATGATTATAATAGTAGATGCATTTGAAAGAGTACCATGGTTATGCCACAAAAATTTCTCATTAAAATTCTTTATTCAAATTGATTGATTTGGCGAGATAACAAAAATTTATTAATCAGGTATATGAAAAATAATCTATTCGCTACTGTTTATTTTTTTTATCTAACAATAGAACACATTATATTTAATCTCTTATTCAGGTTCATTTAACAGAATCGTTGATTAATCAAAGTATTTGTAATAATCTATTTACTTCTTATTAATCCTTATTTGTACTAACTAACAGTGTTGGCCATGACCTGAATCATACCATTTTTTTTGATATGACCTTAGTCATATAATTATATGGATTTTGTCTAGTGATTGGACCCGTTCAACCCGGGTGACCCGTCGGGCTGATCCTGGTAGACTGACGGGTATTCCCAGCCAATCACTAATGTTTGTTTACATATGGGCGGATTTTGGAAATTCAAATATGTCACCTGAATTTGGATGTGATATTTGTAATATCTAAAAATAGATTAACCAATAAAATTATATAAACAAAGTCACGAGAATCTACATAACCAATTAGATCAATTAAAAAATTTAATCAAGTAATATTATTAACATTTACAAGGCAAAACATTACAGCAACATATTTTGATTTATACATATTAATTAAACAATATTGCTTATTGTTAATATTTATTTATCACTTAAACCATATTATATCAATCAAATCTATCTAATAAATTCTAAAAATACAAGATATTAATGTTAAAGGTATCTACACACAGAACCTAGAGATTCAGAACTGGCTTGGGAAACCCCAAGTCTTGGAGTAAGAATTAGCAGCTTTCGACAGTGCTACAAGAGTGGTCCAGAAATGGAAATTTAGGTAACAAAGATCTTCAGACAAAAGGATCCACCAACTAGACCGCCAAGGTCACTAGAGCCACACTAGATATATATTTATTAATTACTTCAGTATGGGATGTCTATTGGAAGATCCTAGGATAAGACCCCAAAGGAAAAAGACTTGCATTACGAAAGCTTGTACCAAGAATCGGGAGACCTTCAAACCTAAGATTGGGAACCTCAGGTCTGTGCAAACCAATCTCCCCAGGCCATCTGAATTGGAAGACTGAAGACTAAAGTATGAAGTATGAACATGGGTACTGGGGTCATGAACCTTACAAGGGGTGAGAAATAAGTAATAGGAGGACTAATTAGAAAGGTTGTGCTTGAGATACAGATTGTGTTATGGGAGCACCCCAAAAGGTGGCATGAGATACAAATACAATAGTGGCAGATAATATGTACTAATTGAGAAAAATATTACTGAACGAGCATACACCATGTGTAAGATATAATATGCAGTATCAGGTTTATCATGAGGATTAGCCAAAAGAAGTCCTAAGGTAGGTACTAAAAGCTAGAGATGTTACAAAATCTATACATAGAATAGTGAGTTACACTTGGGTTAGGTATAAGGGCTTTGGGTTATGACCAGAAAATTCAAATAGATAACTTTGTAGTTGGGTTGCAGGTATAGCAAATAGTGTAAAACCTTTGGGTGGACCATTTAAATTAGACACCAAATGTGCACGTGTAGCTAGTTGTACTTTCATCATAATTGTAATAAGTTTTGAATTAGTGATTGGACCCGTCCAACCTGAGTGACCCATCAGGCTGATCCGGGTAGACTGACGGATATTCCCAGCCAATCACTGATATTTGTTTACATCGGGTAAAATAGGATGTGTAAATCCTATTTTACCCGATGTAAACAAACATCAGTGATTGGCTGGGAATACCCGTCAGTCTACCCGGATCAGCCCGATGGGTCACCCGGGTTGGACGGGTCCAATCACTATTTTGAATATCTAATAAAACAGTTCATAGCCAAAGAGATTATCTTAATAGTGAAAAAAAAAAAAATACAAGATACTGAAATCACTATGCAAATGTATCTAAATTTTTTTAAAAATAAATTATTTTTGCAATTTTTATTGCAAACTTTCAATATAAACATTAGAAAAATGCAGTTTATTATATAATTTATTTTTATTATAGAGTTATACCTCTCTCTCTCTGTGATAATACTATTAACTAATATATACTATAGTATTTGAAGATTATCTAATTTTATTTTTGTGAATATATGCATAGGTGTTATATCAAAACAAGAATTGAATTTTTAATAAACCTGTTTTTCTAAATAAAAATATTACTTACTATTTTAGGAAGCATATTAACACCTATGCTTGTTATTTTGTGAAATACAATTAATGTATTAAATTTATAGCATGCATTGTAATTTTCAATAGTATATAATCAAATAACATAACACATGTTGTCAAATAACCAGTATTAGAGATCATATCATATAATTGGCAGTTTAAATCAATTTAATTTTACATTATTTATACAGTTTAAAGTACCTTTTAAAAAAAATAAAACTATAAAGAATAAACAAAAAAGGTGCATATAGAAAGTTTTATTAGAGATGTTGGTCTCCATTATTAAAAATAATCCAAATTCCTATTTGTTTTAGAGAAGTTAGCATAGTAATAACCTAATTCTTTAAGAAGTTGCTATTATGCTAACTTCTTTAAAGCAAAAAAGGATTTAGATTATTTTTAATAATAAAATCTAACAATCTTAATAAAATATTCTATATACTTCTTATTTGTTTATTCTTTATAGTTTTATTTTTTTAAAA